GGCAATGCTGCTCAGGTGTTTGCTGACGACACAGACGAGACTCGTGCACTCAGACAGAAATACGGCGATAAGCTAGGCTTGCTCAAAGAACTCTTTGCTGATTGGTCGGATGAGGATCTCCTCTCAGTGCTTTCCCAATCTGGCGGCGAGATCGAGCTCGCCGTCGGTCGTATCAGTGAAGGTGAGTTTGGATCCGTAAAGGGGATCGGTGTATGCATCGCAACGACTTTAAGGTCTCGCACTGTCCGTGCCTCATCTGACACGGCTAGTGAATCCGTCATCCTAGGCCACGCGGAACAATTCTCCTCAGTGAAAAGCAAGAACGCGCGCAAGAAGGAGACCTCTGCCCCTGCTATCAGCGGCTCTAATGGAGCCTCTGCTCCGGCGGCGCTAGCTGGCAGACACGCAAGCAGAGGAAGTGGGCACGCGTCTAGTGATATCTCGACCCGTGGTTCTCGAGGCGGCTGTGAGTGGTCGCGCCCGTTCACAATGCATTTCACAGTTACAAGTAGGCGAATCGCTGACTCTTCTCATGCAATATTGGTGCTCACTCACGACTCTATAGCTGCTGGACGTGGAGCGAGAGGTGGATCACGTGGCGGCATGCGCGGTGGAGGAAGAGGAGGCGGTCCCGCACCCCAATCGAATGGTCATCTGGCCACATCTTCAACTGACGACTTTCCGACCGCAACGGCTCCCACGAGCACTGGTCCCAGCTGGGCTCAAGCCATCGCTGCGGCACAGAAGAAGCCACCTACTGCCACTGCCGCTCCTACGGTTCTCGAGGAAGTGGCAGAGGGTGCCGCGCAGTCTGCTCCAGAAGCTGTGGTGTCAGAAGCTGCAGCTCCTGCTATCGAAAGCGCATCCTGGGACGACGACGTTCCAGAGCAGCCCGTTGCCGTAGTCGTGGAGAAGGATGACGCAAAAGGGGAGGCAGGTGCGATCAAGGCAGGAAGTAAGATCATTCCAAAGGGTTCGAAGATGAGCTGGGCGCAGATCGCAAGGTGAGTTCAGCCTCGACCAGATCTCTCAGAAACA